CTAGGTTTATAACTAAACCAATGTGAGACTGACCCGGTTTAACCCGGTATTGGGGTTGACTGGGTTAATTGGGTTGATTTTTTTTCAAGCTGAACCCCCAAAACGACGTCGTTTTGGGGGAATTTTTTTTTCTCCCTACCCTAAAGAAATAAAAATGACTCAAGAAATGAGGAACAGGCAACAGCCGAATAGGGTTTGCCTTCGCCAATCACCATTTCGCTAAGGCTTTAAAAAAAAGGCACGACACGAGCATCAGATTCATATCAGTATCAGCATCACTCAGTCGCCTACTCACCTTCGCCACTTCGTTGACTCAGAATATCAGATCACTGATCACTCAGTCATCTACATCGTCTCTTGCTCTCTCGTCCACTCACTTAATCGCCCTCACGCTCTATCTCCAACCTCTATCTCTTCTCCAGTTCTCCTCTTCTCTAATCGATCTGAAATCAGAGGCAGAGCATACACAGGAAACACATTTCATCGTCCCAATCTGTAGTTCTTCACTTCTTCTCAATAGCATTGAGCGTTCATTCAGCCCATTACGACATAGTGGTTCAGCAGCTCGTGCTTGACTTTCAGCATCAGGTCAGTGTTAGTTTCACTATATCTCATACTGGACTCTATTTTTATTTCTTGGTTCAGCTCCTAATTATTGTTTCTTTAGCTGATTTTTGTTTCTTGAACTATATTGCTTTTGCCGCTAAGCAAGCTAATTGCTTTCTTGAACTATATTTGCTGGAAGTTTTTGTAGTTTGGTCAGGCTTCACTGTGGATCTGTTTCATAACAGATCACTGAGAGATATTAGATGTGCTTGTCTTACGTAAAAATAATGTATGATTGAGAACATATTTAAAGATATTCTAAATTTAAGTTCTGAATTTTGAATGTAAAGTATCAGATTATGTCGCCCTTGCATCCCATCATTTCACCTTTATCTTTATTTTCCTACAGTGTTGTGATTGGTTTGTCACTGCCTCTATGACACACACTATAGATGATTATATGATTGAGAACAAATTTAAAGATTTTGCTCATGATTGTTGTCTCTTTTTGTTATTGTTGTTTTTAGATATGATTCAGCTTGTCTCTTCTTGTGCCTAGTTGTTTCTCAATTCAGCTTTATTGCTAATTTATTATTTAAATTTTATATTTGTATTAAAAAATAAAATTAAAGCTTTGTCTTTAGCTTGCAGAATAAAATATAATCATTGTATTGATTATGGATATTGGAAGTAGTCCTAGTGATAGAAATGAGAATCTTACCTCCAATTCCAATGATCCCCCTCCTAGTGGTAATGACTCAACATGTAAGGCCCTATCTGTGCATGGAAAAATTGATCTTGCTTGGGCATATGTTGCCTTAAGAAAGAGGGCAAGAAAAATATATATACTTGCCTTTATTGTGCATCAAGTTATAGAGGAGGTGGGATTAATAGAATAAAGCAACATCTTGCTGGTGTGAGTGGTCAATAGCTTCTTGTAAGAAAGTTCCTCATGATGTACGTCACAGGATAGTTGAGTCTTTGAAAGGTGGGAGAAAAAGGAAGGTTGATGATAGAAAAGAACAAGAACAAGTAGACATTAGGGACCTTGAAACTAATGATCCAATTGCTCCTACTCCAATTAAGACAGTCCTTGAGAGAAGTGCCAATAAGAGGCAAGCCTCTACTGCTTCAATTGAGAATTATTTTGCCCTCAGGACAACTCCTGGTTCCCAACTTAGCATCAAGAGTGTGCTTGCAACAAAAGAAGCACAGTACAATGTAAAAATGACTAACTCAATCAAGAGGCATCGATAATTCCTCCGGGAACATATCTGGGAATCCTAAGTGATATAAGCATCTTCCAGTACTCGAGTTTCCACCGTAAGATTGCGCACTGAAGTTAGAAATCCTTGTCATCCTTTCCTCAACAACTGAGTAGCCCTGAGTGTCTATAAGGCACGAGGCAATTACAATCTAACGCCTTGGAGATTCAACTTAGATTGTCTAGAACTATGAAAGTAAGCTCTCCCTTCTTATGGCATTCCACTAGTGCATTGAGAGCTAAAAGTCTCTAGGGCAATGCGAAAGTCTGTTGTTTCTACATTATTGAAATTAGCTAACTTTGATTAATTTCTTAGTCTATTCTACATATGGAATGGTTTTTGTGAAATCTATTGATGCTTCAAATTTGGTAAAAGATGCTAGGACTTTGTTCTCGTTGTTCTGTGAAGTGATTGAGTGGGTTGGTCCCAAGAACATTGTTCACATGGTGATTGATAATGCTGTAAATTATGTAGCATGTGGCAAATTGATTAAGGAAAAATATAAAAACATTTATTGGTCACCTTGTGCTGCACATTGTTTGAACCTTACTTTAAAAGATATAGCAAGTTTAGACAATGTGTCAGCACTTGCCACTAAGGCATCAAAGATAACTGTTTTTGTTTATAATCATATGATCTTCTTGTTATGGCTTAGGAAAGACCAGGTTGGAAAGAAATTATGCGTCCTAGTGCAACAAGATTTGCTACTACATTTATCACGTTGCATAGCATATATATGCATAAGCATGACTTGTAAGCTTTGGTGACTGATAAGCACTTTGTAGATCACAAATTGTCAAAGATTCAAGCTGGAATAATTGTTACTGCTATCATATTAGATAATGGCTTTTGGGGTGATTGCTTAGAAATTGTAAAGTTTGTGTCTCCTCTTATAGAGTTGTTGAGGATTGTGGATTCAGATGAGAAGCTTTCTTTGCCTTATGTTTATGAAGGCATGCAAAGGGCAAAAAAGGCAATCAAGGCAACATTCAATAATAAGAAAGATTATTACAAGCCTTACACAAATATTATTCAAGCTCGATGGGATAAGCACTTTAAGATAAATTTTCATGCGGCGGTGTATTTGTTGAATCCTGCATTCTTGTATGATGAGAACTTTATTCACAAGAGAAGGTTAATGGATGCAATGCTTGACATGTTTGAGTCAATGAAAGTGAAGAAATTGATTATATTGTGATGATGAAGTAGTTGAGTTTGTATCGTGATCGTAAAGAGTCTTTTGACAAAACTTCATGTCAGAGAATAGCCTAGAAATTAGATCCTTGTGAGTATTCATATTTATTATTTAACATGTCCATGGTAATTCTAGTTATTATATGATTAACACCTAACTAAATGTTTTTTATTTACAGATGAATGGTGGTCATTCTATAGAGGTTCTGTTCTAGAATTGCAAACTCTTACAATGTGCATTCTTAGCCAAACTTCTTCTTCTTCTGGCTGTGAAAGAAATTGGAGTTTGTTTGAACACATTCATACCAAAAGACGAAATAGATTACAACATCAAAGATTGAATGATTTGATTTTTACAAATTATAATTTGCAACTGAAGCATAGGTAAAAAGTAGAGTTTTGAATGGTAATGCTTTTATGTGTGATGTTTCTTTTCTTTTCTTCTTATTAGTTTATTTTTAATGGCATGGATAGATTATTGTTATATTAACATTTAATATGTGGTTTTATGTGCTAGTATGGGGAGATGGGAAGCATAACAAATTCAAAATGCATGATGCACGGGGAAGGGATTACATGTGCATGTACATATTCATATGTTTTGCGTGTGTCTCAGTTTCATGATGCTGTATTTTTTTATTGTTTATCATATTTAATTGCTTTATTTTTTTTCAAGGAGTCAATTGAGAAAAAATAAAAGTTATGATCCCATTGATTATAAATCAATTGACAAAGTTGACTTTTGGGTGGCTGAAAAAGAGGAAGAGCCAGCTCTTGAGTTTGATTCTCAAGATGTTGCAAATCTTGAAAGTGTCATTCACAATGAAATCACAGCTGCTCCATCAACCCTTAAGAGGGATTATGAAGGTTTATTAATCTACTATCATGTCTAATATAAGTATATGAATTTCTTTCTTAAAATGCCATTCATTAGTATTAATTTTTGTTTATTGTAGGTGATGAATATATGAATATTCTAGAGTCCCCACCTTTGCCTAATGTTGCTAGTGGTTCTGGTTTTTCTCATTCAACTCCTAATGTCTCAATGCTTGGAGATTTGAATGAAGTTAATGATGATTTTAGTGTTGGTGAATATTAATTTTAGACTTTTAGACTTTTTAATGATTGAAGGGTTGTAATTGTAAGGAATTAAAGATTAATATTTGAAGTGTTGTATTTTATTATTGTTGAACTTTTGAGTGATTGGATTTGATTGACTTTTTTTATAATTAATATCTTTTTATTTAAATTGTATTATTTTAATTATGACCAATTTGTCACCAGTTCAACCCACTAACCCGTGACCCAATGTCGTGATCAGTTTAATGACTGGTCCGATTTTACATACCTTAATTTTAACCACCAATTAATCTTGCTAAGGCTGCTCCAAAATATATAAAGATATAATTAAAATACTTTATAATTAATTTTAATTTAACTTAATTTTCAAGGTCATTCTTTTAAAGAAATTTTCTAGGTCATTATAGTGCCAAACCTCAATATGTTTACCAGTCACCTTTTCTCAAAATATTAGCTATAGATCAATATGTTCAGCGCGCGATTCAAGCATCAGATTCAGACAATGCTATTATGCTACTGTATCGGAATTGTCAGAATATGAGAGGGAAAAACAATTCAGAGATATTTGTATTACTGAATGATCATTTGTGCATAGTGCAGGCCTTAGCAGAACAGATTGGCTTCATAACTAACTAAAACTAACAATAATCACATACCATAACTAGCAAAACTACTAACTACTTACTATGAAATACATAATTGTCAAATCATTCATGCTTTTCTTGAATCTATACTTTTAAAATGAAAAATGATTTGACAGAAAAGAAGCAAAGATTCAAAGTCAAATATAGCAGTTTGTTTAGAATCCAAACCCAAGTAATCATAGGAAACGAGAGACTCCCAAGATCAACAACCATATTGTCTCAGATGAATTGACTCAAATATAAAATAAGCATTGACTAGCTGCCACAGAGAAAAAGGGAAAGACTTATATATTATCAAAAAGCAATAGAAAATGTTTTAAGAAATTAAACTTGAAGGGGCTCATTTTCGTCCGTGGAGCCAAGCATCTCATTCACTAGTAACTGGCATTCAGAAGAATCTCCAAATGTCAAGCACTTCTCTACAAAATTGAAGGTGAGCTTCTGTTGACTCATTTGAAGTATCATGCTAGCTAATTCCTTTATAATAGCCGAACGCTCATGTGGCTTCCCATGTTCTAGCACATGCTGTTATTGAGGATAGAGCAAGGCAGCAAAATGAAAGATCAGTTTACAAGTATAAACTACAAGATACATAGATGTCAAAAGTAAATTGATAAGTAGCATCCACTCCAAACATTCTTCAGTGAAAAATGAAAATTGAGACGTCACGAAAAAATAAATAGCCTCAACCAATATAACCAAAAAAGTGAGAAAAAAACTTCAATTAGCAAGTTTCACATCAGATCTTCCTCTCAGAACAACTAACTTGCAGCAGAATGTGACTAGTAAACTACAAGTAGTCTAAACTGAGAGTAGTTAGGAAAATTAACCTGAACAACATAATTTCCATTGTGATCCTGAGCTAACAGGCTAACAGCTCCTAAAATCTCATCCACAGCTTTCTGTTGCGTCTTAGCATCTTTGCAGTGCTCCAGTACTCTCCGCCAATTAGAAAAGCATTATTATATGGCCATGGATTTTAAATGCAGAATAATCATAAGTGGAGCAGTTTATATAATCCTGCCTGTACAACTCGACAACGATATAGATGAGTTGAAACTTGAAAGTGTCACAATTTGATCAAAATTGTTATATGGTAAAAAGCAGTTTAAATAATACTTACTACGCTCTGCTTTTGAGCAAGCACAATATTCAATTACCTCCATTATCAACGCCAATCATCCACACACGACTTTGTTAATGCACACATTCTCATGTTCTACACTCCTATGTTAAATTTGATTAAATCATAATATTCTCAATCTCCATCTTTATTTACAGCTGGAGGGAGTTGAAAATTTGATCAACATCTTCTCTGACACAGCCAGCGAAGATAGTGCCAATTCAGACATCAGGATTTATGTTTCCTATGAATATAATAAATGCCGGAATGGCCTTGATAATGTTAATGTGGAACTGTTAACAACTCTATTAGCAACAATTTGAAAGGGGAAAACAAATCAATTGAGTGAAGAAAAAATTGAGATGAGGGTTGAAAATGGTACCATGAAGCAGAGCAGACAAGTTGCCAGATGGGAGTTAATCTTAGACGAGCAATTTCTCGTCTTTGGAGTAATAGTAAGCTCTGAGAGGAACAAACATTCTCGTGCTCAATCTTGCCCAGAACCTCCATCTGAGCATCAAAGTCTTTCTTTGTTACAGTCACCTCTTTCAATCTCTTCGCCACCACCGTCGTTCCTCCTTCTAGCACCTCCTTGTAGGACATTCCCACGCTTCCTTTGCCTAGAACTTTTGCAGAAGCTCTTAGCAAATCTTCCAAATCGAAGCTCAATATCTCGCCTTCGAAGAACACCAGCTTGTTCCTCTCTACCTCAACGGACTCGCCAGTGATGTTATCTTTCTAGGATGATGTTCCAGCCTCCGCCGGCACGGCACGCGTCGCTGCCACAGGCTTGGGTAGCTTAGCTGGCTGGCTTCGCTGGCCTTTCCTAAGGCACAGTAGCTGTTATTACCTCTGGTAATTAATGCATAGAACAAAAATGACCTTTCTCCAGCCATATTGCCACGAAGATCTCGTAACTCACGCATCCAAATCTAGCTCATGCCTGCACCAAGCTTACGCGAGGAGGAAGACACCAGCGTTTCGAAAAAGGCCATGAACTATCCTATTCTTTTAAAAAAAACTCAGCCTTACTTAAATTTTTTTGTAATATAATTCAGACTAACTCATCAACTTGTTTGAATTATTTGTTCTACTATTTCTTTATCTATTTCATTGGGCTTGGTTGATGTACGCTTGGTTCCTTCGGTCCAACAGGCTTCTAACCCAAAAATATTTTAGCCCAAACAATCACTAAGACCTTTTAAAAATATAATGCAATATATAAATAATGAATTTTGTCTCCAAACCTTTTTAAAATGTTGTTAATTTCATAAGGGTTGTGTATATCCTAGAATAAAATTAGATTAGAGAATTTGATCTTAATTTTTTTTCTTTGCCGACGAGCTAGACCTTGATAAGGTCTGTCTATTATAGAAGCTTCCTCCATTTGAAACAACACTTAGCGTAAATCATATATTGCTTCATTGACCGATACCAATTGGGAGAGAGATTGACAATCTATGCGTAGAGATCCAAGTCATTACGGCGCAGTGACATGTTATGACTATTCCACTACTATCACATTAATTTACTTTAATACTTTATTTGAAGTCTACCACTCTGAAAGATTCCGTTTTTTGGATCATTAGTTCAGAAAAATACTTAGGTAGATCAAATATACTATGTTATTTGTGGTCTATCCAATAAAAACATAATATTTAAATGATATTAAATATAAATTGATTTTGATATTAATAGTAATATATTCTGTTTAGATTACTTGGAGCATTTTAATAGGATAGACTACAAATGACATGGTACACTCAATTCACCTAAGTATTTCTCCATTAATTCGCTCTGTGTGTAATAATATGATCCCCTATTTTCACAAAAAATAATGTGTACATAAAAAATGTGGAGGAAAGATTAAAAAAGGGAAAATAGGACTTGAAATCTCTAATGTGCCTTCCTCTAATTAATGCCCTTTATAAAGCCCTGCATTCTCAATTTTGTTTTTTTTTGTATTTTTCTTTAGATTATTGGCTTGTTTATAAAATAAAAGAATTTCCAGAGATCAAGATATCTCTTATTTTATGTAGAAGATGATGATTTAAGGAAAAATAAAAATAAAATTGAGAAGGAAGGTTATTACAAAACGCATTGGAAGAAGGTCCATCAGAGATCACTATCCCGAAAATTATGGACAAAAATACTATAATATGCAAACTCCATATTATTAAGGTCCTCTCATATAATAGTTTTGTACGTTTCAAGAGAAAGCCCAATTACGATCACTATACCTCAGTTTAACGTTCAATGAAGAAATGTTATAAACTGTTTTCAAACAATATAATACCACAGTTTCAATTAAATGATAGATCTGATAAAATTGTGGGTGTACATGGCCTGTAATATTTCAAGAGGCGGTTTCTCCTATCCATGAAGTTTTTATTGTTTTTCCCTCAGAATTCTATCCATGGAATTTCAAGATATCAAAAAATAATTTTGGGTCAGAATGTTTTTGGGTAATTTAACCACACGTTAACTGCTTAAACAAAAGACACTGTCAAGATCAATTAAAACAAATGCATGCCATCGACGACGATTGGGCTTGTATTACCAATATTTTTATACCAGATATGATTGGAGTATTTGAACTTGATTTAAGTACTTAAGGACAAATATTTAAGTTCCCAAAATTTGGCAAAAACATTTGGTTCATTAACCCTACCAACTGGATGGAAATTCATTTTTTAAATAATTCCAAAATCAATTGTTTTCAATAAATCTATGCCCACCCACATGCACAAACTCGGACATTAATATTTTTTTTATTGCTTACATGTACCTTTCTACTAAAAATAATACACATTCCACGTATGATCGATCATTAAATGTAAAAAACTCTTCTTCTTCTTTTTTTAGTGAAGACGTGGGAGGATTCTCATATTTACTAGCGTAAACACATATATAATACATGTGGATAGCGAAAAATAAGGAACATATAAATATGATGCTGATTCATATTGAAAAAAAGAATATTAAAAAGAGAAAACACATGAATAAAAATTATTTTTTAAAAAAATTTGTACTTTAGTTTTAGGGAATAAATCCTATGAAGTTAAGAATATGTAAATTTTATAAATTTGCATGGAAAAGAGTAGGTTTTGTATTTTATAATGCTAGTAAAATAAGGGGAAAATATTAAAAAAGAAAAACTTCACAAAAATTCATGAATATTTAGGACTTGTTTGGTTTTTCTCTCATTGTTTGTTTTTAAAAATTTGTAATTGAATTTTAAAAACTGTTTTCAAAACGAAATTAAATGAAAATTTGTTTGATTATGTTAATTAGAAAACAATTTTAGAGTTAAAAAATATCAATAGTATTGGTCGTCAATGATTAATAATGATGGCCTAATGATCGGTTGGCTGTAGATGAATGTAATTTATAATAATCAAAATATATTATCAAAAAATTAATAGTTAAAAAGGTGTGTTTTAAAATTTAAAAAAAATTGATGGGGTGTGGAAAAATGAAATGAACTTTCTCCGATAACTTAAATTTCAAACATGTGGGGTAGACAAATTTGAGAAAATGACAGTACTGCAGAGGAATATTTGTATATGCATGCGTCAAAATTCTATTGTTTACCAAAAACTATATACATCAGGTTTTATTGAAAATAACCCTTCCATTATATATTTAGGCGATATATATTCATTATCAAAGATTGTTGAAATTTATTAAATGGTCATCTCAATGTAAAATACTTAAACTGCGAACTTTGTGTACTTGAATTGTTATATTGTTATTTCTAACGTATTTGTTGGACTAGCCACTCTATGGATTAAGTCCAAACCCAAGCCCAAATATATAAAAAGGCCTTGTCACCATATGAAAATGATTTGGACCTTTTGTGCAGTTTTCCCTTTTTCTTTGAAAATGGGAGGCAATGGTTGTTGTAATTATCCATGCGTGCACATTCAGTGAAGAGGTGGAACCCGTGGGTTAAAAGCAGAGTATGTATACTGGTTTCAGGGCGCTAGCAAAAACACTCTCATTTTCCCTCTTTCTCTTGTGTTCTCAATGTGGGCGTTTGTTGTGTAGAAAGAACCGAGTTCTACCATAACTCCGTTCCCGCATAGTGAACTATCTAATGTGGCAAACAGGCGTGTTTTGACTTTAAAAAGAACCCAAAAGACGAACTTTATCAAGGTCATGTTTTAAGGTTATTTAACTTGAATAATGGATTGAAAATTAATTGGTATAACACTCATTCTTGTGCGAAATATCAGTCCAGACCCAAGGTTCTTTTTGGCACTAACAATATAATTCTTGCACAAATCACTTTAGATTCTCATGTGAATGTGTTGGTCCGAACTAGCCACTATTCTGGAGCTCTAATTTTTATGTGATTCAGTTTGATTCTCTCATGAATAACCAAGTTGGAAGTAGGTACCATTTTAGAAGTCTAATTTTTGCGAGAATGACTTCTTGTTCTTGTGAGAATGTACTTGACAGAGTCTAAGACATTTTTAAGGCATTAACATGATGCACAAGACAATGTTTTTAAAGAGATTTTTTAAGTTAAATCGATATCCATTACTTTAAAGACTATAACTTGTCTCTAAGTTCTCCCATGTTCATGCAAATGTAAGCTCTCAATATTGATTTTCACAATGATTCTAAGAGAATAAAGGTAATAAATCTACAAAGCTAAGTCTTTTCTTGAATCTTGTTATGATCAAGATTTTGTCATTGATTAAATAATGGTTCTGCATAAAAACAATAAACCTTTTATGGAGTTTTGTTATCATCAAAATACATAATGTATCCAACAATCTCTCATTTACTCTTTTAGTTTTTCTCGAATTGTCCATATTTCATCTTGTCTTAGAAAGTTAGATTTTCCATCATCATGTACCTTTTTTATGAGGATGAGACATAAAGCAAGGGCCATTCTAATCTTATATCTTGTGGACAACCCTACTCGCACGGACTTTTGCAAAAGATTTCCAAAATGACATAATCAATTTTTCTCCATGCATTTCAATTATTGAATTAATATGCTCATTCATTGATCATAGTCTTCTTAACAAGGTCTAAACAATAGAATTTTGATGCATATACATGTGATTTTCTCATATTTCTCTGCTCCACATGTTTAAAATTGAAGTAATTACGAGAGAAAGTTCAATCTTTTCGACTGTTCAAAATAAATTAAAGTTCAGTCTTTTTCTTACAAAAAAAAAAATAGTGATGATGCTGATCGAAATTATAAAAGATCTAATAATTTTTGTTTTCTAACTTTTCTCTCTTTTCTTAATATTTACTTAGCCACTATCCACTTCGACATGGATTCAGCATCACATTTTTATATTCATTATTTATTTATTTTATCTCTCTTGACATGTATTATACACACCCCTGTACACTTTCTGCGAGTATGGAGATAAATTTAGATGTGTACGTTGGAAAAAAATAGATTCAAAGGAAGAAGGTAAAAAATGAAGACTTTTTACGGTGTTCATCAAGGGATGAGTCATCCTGATGAGATCTAAATGGTTTAGATTTAAAGTATTATTATATATTAAAATAAAATTTTAAAAAATTATAAAATAATTTTAATAAATTTTTTATTGTTAAATTGGTCTAAATTTTATTTGGAAGGTCAAAATCCGGATTGTACATAATACACCTGAATAGTCAATATATAAAAATTATAAAAATTTTAATATTAAATTAAATCTTTCAAGTTAAATTTAAACCATCTTAAAAATAAAAAAATTATTAAAATTATTTTATAATTTTAAAAATTTTTATTTTAATAATATAAAATAAAACAATCTTTTAAATTTGAACTATCAAAATTAAAATTTAAATGGTGTAAATTTTATCATTGATGGGTGTCTAAGTCAAATCCGGTAAAAAATGAGGGAGGATTTTTTTCCCCATCCTTTGGGAGAGGGAGCAGGTAAACTAATGACTTGACTCATATTACAATGAATAGACGGTCAATTTCGGTCCAATTGGCGGCTCAA